CAAAATGTAATTTATGTGAAAATATGAAGTTTGTAAACGCCCGTTAACAGAGGCCTGTCTGTGTCTCGCTGAAGACGGACGCAGAGAAAAATACTGTAGCAGGAAGATCACCCACTGTTCATGATGCACGAAATATTGGAAGAAAATCCTAAATATTGATTTGGGGATTTATATGAATGTTTCTGAGGGGAACTGACTGTCTTCAGAAAAGTTTAGATAGTATCTTCTTTTCATCTCGTCTCTGTATAATTCACATTAAAGCAGTGTTTCAGCGCAGCGCTGCTTTGTTTACAGTGGTAACCAAGGAAACGTATCTGCCAGCGCAGTGCTGCTTTGTTTACAGCAGTAACCAAGGAAATGCTGTATCTGGTGTTCCATGAGCGCCTCCTGCTGTGATGCTGTATCTGGTGTTCCATGAGCGCCTCCTGCTGTCAGAGAGTGAATCTGCGTCTCAATTCAGACCTCCTGCTCTTTGCTTCGTTCAGGCATGCAGTATAATTTCACAAAGCTAGTCAGGACATTCTGTTTTTGCTTCAAATTGGGTTAGTATGAAATCAAATTATGTATATGAAATTATATAAATAAATTATATGAAATTATATCTATATTATATAACTAAAATTAAATAACTGTAATTACAGATTTAGGTTAAATAAAGATGTCAGTCTTTATTTTTCTTCTTTTTTTCTTTTTCACATCAAAAGCTGCAAGACAGCCCACAATTCAGCAAACATTTCAGAAACAAATCAAAGAAAAAATAAACAAATACTGCTGTTCCAAATATTCTGTATGTTGCTCAAAAATAAAATTTGTGTTCAGTGGAAAAAGTGTTTTTTTCTTTTTTTACCCAGACATTTAAATTTAACACATCTTAGAGCTGTAACAACAATACCGTGATATTTTTGCTTAAGGTTATCATACCGTCAAAATCTCATACCGACCCATGCCTACTTGCTATTGAGGCTTCTTTAGGGTGTCTACACACTGGAGGGAGTTTTCATATCAGAGGAAATTATGAATTTCAGTTGGAATGGGGAATTGCAGCGGTGTTGATGGACCCATTAGATAATGCATCTAACTAAACTGAGCAATACATTTGTTATATTATGTATTAATATTTGTTAACACTATTTAATAAAAATACAACTCTTCATTGTTAGTTCATGGTAGGTATGGTACTTTAAATAAAAAAAAACATTGTATAATATCTCATTGTCATTATTGGCAAAATCCCCAAAATACATCATTTTTGTCAGTATCGCAGTTCTGGTACATTTGGGTATATTACAGTTAAAACGTTCATTTTACTTTAATATAAAAGAAGTCTCTCTGCTAATTAGACCGATTTAATTTTGTAACTCATCTTTTTTTTTTTTTTTTTTTCTTTCCTGGGCCTCTTTAGGGTGTCTACACACTGGAGGGAGTTTTCATATCAGAGGAAATTATGAATTTCAGTTGGAATGGGGAATTGCAGCGGTGTTGATGGACCCATTAGATAATGCATCTAACTAAACTGAGCAATACATTTGTTATATTATGTATTAATATTTGTTAACACTATTTAATAAAAATACAACTCTTCATTGTTAGTTCATGGTAGGTATGGTACTTTAAATAAAAAAAAACATTGTATAATATCTCATTGTCATTATTGGCAAAATCCCCAAAATACATCATTTTTGTCAGTATCGCAGTTCTGGTACATTTGGGTATATTACAGTTAAAACGTTCATTTTACTTTAATATAAAAGAAGTCTCTCTGCTAATTAGACCGATTTAATTTTGTAACTCATCTTTTTTTTTTTTTTTTTACTACCTGGGCCGTACTAGCATATAAGCTCTTTTAGGGTCACTGCAGTCAAAATAAATGCTACCAAACAATTATAAACTCTCATCTGTCCTATTTTTGTCCTCCCTTTCTTTGCAGTCGCAATCACCAGGATCCTCTTGCTGTGGCCTATCACTTGATCATAGACAACCGCCGCATTATGAGTGAGGCCAAAGATTTCTATTTGGCCTCCAGCCCCCCGGACAGCTTCCTAGATGACCTGCCTGCACACCACTCTGCAAAGATTCACCCTGAGAGAGTGCCGTTCCTGGTGGCTGAGTCTCAGCCACGTCCTCGACACACGCTGGATGAGCTTAACCCCCAAAAGTCCAAGCATCTCGGTGTCCGGCGGGCCAAGTGGCACCTGGGAATCCGTAGCCAGAGCAGACCGAATGATATCATGAGTGAGGTCTGTCGTGCTATGAAGCAGTTGGACTATGAGTGGAAGGTAAGCACATCTTCACACTTAAATATATTGTTTAGCATTTTAAGAGATGTCATGTTATCCTAAACCTATATGACTTGCGGAACACTTCTTCTGCGAAACACAAAAAAATAAAAAATAAAATAAAAAAAAACAATATATATATATTAGGGCTGTCAATAGATTCAAATTTTTAATCCGAGTAATCACACCCTTTTTCTGTGATTAATCGCGATTAATTGCACACTTCATGAAATTAAGCATAGACCATTTATCTTGTTTCAAATGTCCATCAAAACTTTACTAGCGAGACTGGTTATCAAGTCGAGAAACCGTAGTTTGCGTCTCATCTGGCCATACAGCGGTGGGATGTTGACAATCCGTTCAGTCTGTAGCCTACTTCACACACAGCGCGTGTGACGTGTGAGCTAGGGCTGTTCGATTCCGAAATTTTTGTAATCTAGTCCGATTCCGATTCCCAGTTCTGGAATCGATGGGATTCGATTCCAAGAATCGATTCCTCACTGTTGTGTTCGATTCTTGTTTTTTAGATCGAAGGAACCTAATTTCACCATGACTGCAGGATATAAAGGTCGTAGACAGTAGCCTTCTCATAATATGAAGCTTTATTTGTAAAAATTACGATGCATTTCTGTAGCTCTGATTGATTGTAAATTGTAATTTTGTCTGCATTGCGCATGAAATTAGTCATAGCTAACAGCTCAGCAGTGGACATGTTTATTGCATGAATGGAACAAGACATTGAAGTTTACTTTAACTGTATGCTTTGCACAAAATTAACAAAGTGTACACCGAAACAAAATAACCAGAACTTTAACAACAACACATTGATAGAATAAGAGCTCGTGGTTTATCTGTCAATCAGATGCGTTCTCAGCCACTGATCTGTGCTCTCGGCATTTTCTTTCAGAATAATCATTGGCTGATAGAAAGGTTAAAAAACATTTTATTTAAGATGTAAATAAGAACAAGACCCTCGATCACGTCATGATCTATTTTGTCGTGCAGTGCTCAAAATTGTGGACAAAAGCCAGTTCCACCATAAAATAACCTCTGAATCGTTTTTTGAACTGGTTCATTAAAGGGGTCATATGATGTTGCTAAAAAGAACATTATTTTGTGTATTTGGTGTAATGAAATGTTTATGCGGTTTAAAGTTAAAAAAACATCCGGCGATCCACAGCGTGAAGTTGATGAATTTCCTCAGCGACCAGCATGGATCAGCTATAGGCATGACGAAGCGGATATCGTCCTGTTTTGGAAGTCCAAACAAAGTAGTTTCGCTTTCACAACGAAACACACAGCACCTTCAGGACATGGCGGCAGCAACAATACTACAGCGAGAATAAAAGTTACGCCTTCTTTCTTTGCTTGAACATTTGGG